AACTGGCAGGTGTCACCTTTCCCTTTTCTCCTGGTTCAGAGAGGGTTTTCTACCTCACCCCACCTCTCCTGTTCCTTTGGGGGTGCTTATAAGTTGCCTATATTCAGGAAACCTGAAGACAGAGGAGAGATGCAGCTTGGCTAGTCTGTTACACAATGATGGGATTACGGGTAGTCAACACTGTAAAAGAAAGGTATGCTTGTCTGGTAGGTTTTCTTCTCTGAGGCTGTGCTTCTATCACACATAAGAGACAAAATCTTGAGCCCTATGAATTATAGGAAATGACATTTGATAATGGTAACCACTGTGGTATGGATACGTGTCCTCCAAAGTCCTATGTGTTTAAAAAAAGTTTATTCAGCCCGTATGCCATTGGGAGGTGATGTCCCTGGGAGGAAGTTAGGTCATTTGGGAGGTGCTCTCAAGGGCGATTGTGGGGATTTAGATTCTTCCTCCTCTTTCTCTGCTTCCCAGACATCATGGGTTGGGCAGCTCTCTCCACCAGACACTGCTATGTCATGACAAGCTGCCTTGCCACAGTCCCAAAAACAATAAGGCCAAGTGGCCCTGGACTGAATCCAAGAGCCCAAAATAAACCCATTCTCTTTATAATTTTGTCATTGTCTATATTTTGTTACGATAATGGGTGCCGTGATGTGAAAAACAGAAGACAGGTAATAACAGAAGTGAAGAGTGGAGTTGGGGACCCAGAAAGCTTGATCAAAGGGATCTGAAAATTTGTTACCAGCTAATACTCATGCTAACACACTGGAGTCAGCCAGGATATCTGGGAAACTGCTAGAGGTCATCACTAATTGCTAATGGGACAAAAGAACTACTTGAAATTTGTCTAAGTCTAGGCAGTGACAGGGGAAAAGTAAGTTTAGTCTTCCAAGACTGTTCTGTGTGTTATCTAAGAGACAGATACCCCATTGACTGCTCAGGCCAAGTCATGCACTGGCTCTGTAAGTCTCTGCAATGTGGCAGGGGTGGCTACCTAGGGCAGAGAACACTGACAGGCAGTAAAGAGCAGGCGTTACATCTCACGCAGAAGTGAAGAAGGCCCTTTGTGTTTCCCTCAGATGACTTTGTGGATGTGCTATTTTGTCATAGACCCCAGACATATTAATTATGGCTCCTGGCTCAGTTGGGCACACACTGGTGCTGTGGTACCCAGGTGTTTTGCCCAAGCAGAAGGTGAAGGCTTAAAAGCTACTATTCTGACCAGAACTGGTCTTTCTTTGGATGGACTTTTCTTTCTACCTTGTCAAAAATCAAAAGACAAAAAACCTTGCTCTCCATTATCCAGAGGCATCACTGTTGTGGTAAGGTAGGATGCGTGTCTCATTCTGTCTTATTTCCACCTGGGGCCCATACTGAGTCCCAACCTTTGGTCTGGACACCTGTGAAAACTTCAGATTTTCTCCAGCTGAATGTGTGTAAAAGCTCTCGACTATTTCCCAAACTCTGGCATGGTGAGAGGATGCCACATTTTCCAGAAAGAAGACCTACTCTGAGGTTGTCTGGTCCACATGTGGGATTCGGAGGACAGAACAGAGAAATCTTCATTCTTCTCACCTATCAGGCTGTGTATATTTCATGCATGGTTTTGGTAGATTCTAGGCAGTTGCTGGGGGACATAGGTGGGCTATAAAGATATGTTTTACTTCAGTATGAAAAGGTTGGAGTTATAACTGAACCTTCTGATTTTCCCTTAATAAACCACTTAATTTTCTAAAGAGTTCTCTAATAAACTTGTAATTTTTCAATCTCTTTTGAAGCTTATATTTTCAGCCTGTGCTGGTATTTATATTACTCATTCATAGGCACTAATGTAGAGTAGCTGAATGGTTTGGATCTAGAATTAAGCAGAACAATGCTGAAATTCTATCTCCACTGCTCACTAGTTGTGCCACTATGGTGAGCTACTTAAAACACTACCAGACTTCATTTGGAACTTGGCAAACGGTCAACTCTTCTCTGGAGGGTAGCCCAACATCTGAAATACTTAGCACAGTGCAGAAAGACCTCAATAAATGGTAGTCATACTTATTCATTCAATCAAAATAAACATGTATTAGATACAAAAATGCTTCAAGACATTGGCCTCTGTCCATAAGGGGCAAACAGAGAGTGTTGATAGAGATGGGGAAGCTAAGCACTTTTGTAATTTCAAAGGGAGAAAATAATTAAAGAAAGTTTATAAAAATAGGAAGTGTTTGAGAATAGGGTAATCTTTGGGTTGGATCTTGTAGGATGTAAAGAATGTGGACAAGTAGAGTTGGGTGAGATCAAAGCAACCAACATTCTAGAGAAAAAAAACCAACAACCCTAAAAGAGGCATTGGATGGGAATGGTGAGGGTATGTCAATATCTAGAATGCTTCTAATTTACTATAGGAAATAAAATAATAAAGGAGAGAAACCAGGCCCCCCCATACTGAAAGAATCAGAATAGGAATATCTGCCATGCTAAAAAGGATTTGACCTTGGTCTGATGAGCCATCAAAGACTTTGGGGGGCTACTTTCCCTTCATTTCTCTTCAGAGTTCTTCATTTATGACCTCTCAACATTTTTAATTAGCACAGGAATGTCTGAGCATTGGTGTGGTTTGTTTATGAGAAACTGGTTGGAGAGGAGTAGCCTAATGAGGATCAGATGGAACAAAGGTCTAACAAAGTTATAAACAGGTATAGACAACATTAAAACCCTTACCAGACTGTCTTACTTTTCTGTCATTACTGAGACAAAATATTAGAGACCCAAAGGTGAAGGGGGAAAGGTTTATTTGACTTATAATTCATAGAGGTTTCAGTCCATAAGCAGCAGGCTCCAAGGCAGGCTGGCAGAGGGGAAACAGTTCATGGCAGTGGAACACAGCAAAAGCGACAGGGACTTTAACAGTGTCCTTCTGCCCCCTTTATCTTCTTCAGACTACTGGGATTTGGGCGGTGCCAAACCAGTTTAGTAATCAGAAGCCCTTAATCCCAGCATCACACACTCTAGAGTCACCCACCTGTGACTGCATGAGGCTTTAGGGGGACATCTCGACCCAAACCATAACACAGACTTAATTTGGGACTTGTGAAATCACCAACTCTCTTCTTTGGAGGGTGCCCCAATCTTGAGCCTTCAAAAATTGAAATTTATACAGTATTTGTAAGACCTTTAGTTATTGACAAGATTGTCATCTTATTCCTTTTATAATGACATTGACCAGAGTGATGGCTGCAATCAAGTGGCCTGACTACATCCCAAATCTTTCCTCACTTCTTTTATTAAAATTCCCTCTGCTTAAAGTATTTTGAAGCAAAGGAGCACTTCTGCTCTTGGGAAAATACAACTCTGCTGGTGAAAATGATGAGGAAAATTACCAGGCAAAGGATTAGGCACAGTTTGCAGTTTATTTGAAGCTTTGTAGTTTTTTTTTAAAAAAAAATAGCTAGATTGATTATGGCTCAGTCAACGTGGGTTTAGGATGAATGCAAGTCCATACATTGATTGCTTTTGCACCAACATTGACTTTCCTTCCTGCATGACTGACTCACTTGAATTGGGGGGTGGAATAATTTCCTGCTTCTTTTGGGTCTAACTGGGGCTTCTATAGCCCCAGAGGACAAAGCACATGGACCTCTCAGGGGTCCACTGAAGGGGCAGTGAGGTATCACCCTCTGGAGAAAGGAAAGGAGGGGGCTCCAGGAGAAGAGGTAGCTTCCAAAGAGTAAGGTCACACCCCTAGGGCCTAGAGAAATTTGCATTTCAATGGCGACTTAACTGCGACTAAAGATTTTACAGAACGTTTCAGCTTTCCAAATGTTTGTTACTTTTGTTATCCTGGCAGACACCCTGAAATTACTTGTATTTTTTGTTTTGTTTTGTTTTTTTTTAGACTCTAAAATTAACTGAAGAGGCCCGGAAGAGGGTAGAGCCGGGTCTAGGAACTTGACACTCTGTAAGGGGGAGAGTCAGAGGGACCGTGCAGCCCAGGAGGCTCACAAAGGTGAGCAGAGAATGGCGGGGCGGGGCACTGAATTGTGTGTGTGTGTGTGTGTGTGT